TACTAAGAATATACATACTGTCGAATTCCTTGTGACAAAATATATTTCCACCAATTTAAGTGGAATAAAGTTAGTCCAGAATAATAGTTGGAACTACCACCAGCTGCTTTATTATTATTTTGCGTAACTCAAGTCGATAATTTGTATTCATTTAGCGTCATCTGCGTCATCTAATTCTAGTATATTTTTTTAAATTCTGATGTGACACCTCCCTACCGAATACGCTTCTAGCTTTCATTGAAAACCTGAAATCCTTTCTCGAACATGAATTTTCAGAAAATTCTCCCTCGTCTTCGACTCATTGAAATATAGTTCTAAAATAACATGAATGCATCAACAAAAAAGTGATGTTTCCCTTATAAGATATAACTGTTATGAACGGTTTCGTTATCAATAAGGAGGAGAATCGTTTAGCAATTCGTTTTCTGAAGATCCATGAACAATTGATAAGAACTTTTGCGAGTTCCTGAGACAATCATGCACAAATAGGAAGGCATTTTGTGAAATCGATGAAACTACATCATCACCGTCGATAAAGGGCAACACCAAATACAAATGCATAAAATGATTCACAATTTATGGAGAAAATGCCTCTTCCTGAGAATTATCGTCGTAAAAGCAATTTTTCTTGTTGCAGACAATGTGCTGAGTATGACAAAAAAGTACAAACCTGTTGAAGGTGCAAAACATATGACAATAAAGCGGCTTTATGTGTCAAATGTTTCGAAAAGTCTCACAAATGATACATTTTATCATATGTCGATTTGTATATTTATGAAATATATGAACTGCAATAGCAGCCGTGTCCCTATAGATCAAGTGAACGATTTTAAAATATCAAAGTGATAATTATGTTATCCAGTAGAAATTACAACTTGTATTGGGTTTTTGGCTGACTAGTTATAAGTACCTAAAGAGCAAGCAGGCGCGAACATTGTTGGCAACCACCCATTCTGGTTGCCACTATATTCCAACGGGAAGCAATAATTATAATTCAGTTATATTTATGTCCTATGCAATGCAGCACTGCTACTTGATATTCTGTTCAGCACTTGAAATTGGAACAAATAAAACTACGGGGCTGTTTTGCTCGACTCTGAAACTAATTATCTGAAGCTGAACGAATATGAGAATGCAGCTCATTTCAGTTGATGTTGTTTGTGACATTAGAATATCATGGAATTCATTCGTTATGAAACTTTCTTCGAACACGTCTTGACTGAACTTGAAAGTGCCATTTTTGAATTAATCATTCCACACTGATGATATACATATCTAATTATATTCGGGGGAATATAAGTGGGAAGCAGCCGATGGGACCAACATCTCCAAAATAGTCAACCATCATCCATGACATTTTTTGTCAAATCATTTGATTTAATTTATACACATAATATGTTTTCATTTTGCTCCAATTCCATTTAGTATTTCATGTTTGCGAGTATACCAATTTTCATTGAGGTACATTTACATCGTTGTTCATTCGATGTTTTAGTAAGTCTTGATAAAGAAAATAAACATTTTCGAAAGCTCGACAAATAAAACGAAGAAATCTGATATTGGTCACAACGGCTGCTTCCCACTAATATTTCCCCGAATATATCCTATAGAACCTTCGATCATACTGTTCGGAGTATAGAACAGTCACGAAAGCTTCCTCTCATCTAATTATATCTACTTTTTATAACAGACGCTGGCTAACGTTCCAATTTTGAAGACATTTGATGAAAATCATGTAACATAATATAAGGTGTGCTGTGACTCGATTGCCATAGCTCAAGGGCATGTTTCTTCAACAATTTTGAAGGAGTTATGATCAATTGAATACCAACTTTGCTCACCAATGGATTGCAAGAGGTGGTTCGGTTCTTTGACCACCAAGGTCACCTGACCACTTTCATCTTTGGGGACTCATGAAAAGTCTAGTGTATTCAAATAAACTATACAAACCAGCGATGAGCTGATTCAAAATAATGTGACTACTACAAGAGACGACCCATCAGATACGCTTCATAGAGCAACGTTTCTGATAATGAGACAAGCCAGAATTTGTTGTGAAGCAGCAGGGGGGCAAATTCCTAATATAATTTGTGTAAGTAAATATTACATTAATTTGTTCAACATTCTCTTTTCTTCATTACACAATCTGTTAATTCGATATTGCTCAATTACTCCTAAACTATAGAGTTTTGGACAAAAGTGTATAAGGCACTTTTGACTCGGAATTGTTGAAAGAATATGCCCTTTAGCAATGTGGATCGAGTCACGGGACACCGATAGGTACACAAAAAAAGGAATTCTCGATTCAAAAATGATATGTTTGATCACTCCCAAACTCTTGTGGGAGGAGAAGGCATTTATGTCCAGAAAGAATTTATTCGAAAGGTGATGTTCTAACTCTGATGTAGGAATCGTTCGAGAAGATATTCCAAATTCGAATTGTTTGAACTTTTCCACGGAGGTTCAGACTTTTAGCTTGAGTATGTTTTTTATTTTCGCTACGAATATGATTGATACGGTTTTTTATTCTTCCAATTGATGAATTGAATTTTGTAATGACGAATGGGGTTTCCACAATTCCAAAAACCGGCAACATGGCACGTGGAGAACAGTGTTGTAATGTTCGGTGTTTGCAAAGTTCGCATCGCATTCCGCATGGTTGACTTTACAGTTTGGTGGAAATCGAATGTGACTTGGAACAAATCAATGACAACATTGATAATAATATGCTATTGTGATTATGTCAAAGTTTATGCGTTTGAAGAATACCTTATAAAACATGATACCTGGAAATAGCATCCTCTGTATATTCTATGCTATTCACATAATTTAGGGCTTTCATTCTTGTAGAGTAATGTGCTGGATGCAATAATTTGTGTGCATGACTCTGTAATACATGCACATACAGTGAGGACATGAAGAGTCCTCCCCCCAACAAAGCGGAGTTGGATAGAGATTCGAAAGGCCTTCAAAACAAGGTACCACGTGACCACAACTATTTTCATGCCAAATGGTAGTAAAAGAGGTACCTTTTTGCCTGAATTTTACTCGACCTCGCTAGCTTGTTCCGTTCAAAGGTTAAAGGGCGGGGGGGGAGGACTTTTTACGTCCTCACTGTATATTATGTATAGACAATGAATCAGAAAGTCTGATAATAACTGAGGAATTCACAATAGGAAATGAAATGAGTTTCATCAAAAGTGTTTCTCTTCATAATGGTGGGATTGCTTGTGTATAGATAATGAATCAGAAAGTCTGATAATGACTGAGAAATTCACAATAGGAAATTAAATGAGTTTCATCAAAAGTGTTCCTCTTCATAATGGTGGGATTGCTTGAATGACCGTTAACCAATTTATTGCTAAACGTTCAAAAAAGGAGAATTCTAACTCTCGATCTAGACTAGTGATCATAACATCGATAGGTTGCTAGATTCGTATCCCCGGCAGAGCAGAGAATTTTTATTTGTAAAACGATTTATGAATTCCAATTTTCGTAACCTCACGGCCAAAGATGATTTCGCGCTATTCGCTGTTGCGTTCCTAACAACAGTTCTGCTCTTGAGGTGGCGTACGGAATCAGTAACAAAGCCTACATCGAACACACATGGGCTGAAAAACCTCTCGTGAGGTCGATGTCCCGTTGTTATGTGCATACATACCAACGGAGTATATGTACTTCTGCTACTACTATACTTTCATCAAATAATATCAGTTTTCTATAGATACTTCCACAGGAAATGTTCTTCAAAAATCATTCCATCACTAGCAATATCAGTTGGACGGACTCTAGTCGACTTCGAAAATATCAAAACGCGTTTGTCTATTGAATGGCAAAGTTCTAGAATTCATTGTCGTTTATGTTTGTTCGTTTGTTCATTTATTCGTTTTTTCATTCATTTGTTCAATTATTTTCGTTCGTTTTTAATCATTTTAGTTCATTCGGTCTCGATCGTTTATTCTCGTTTTTTAATAGAGTCTGACACTGGTGCTGGGACCCCTGGGCGAGGATCTAGTTGTATCATTTTCATCTGTGAATTTCCTAAGACGTATAAGGAAGGGAAACATCATTCCATATAAGATAGGATATCACTTTTTCTGAACAATCTAACCAACCTTACTCAGTCTCAATGAACCTTCCTGCTAGAAAGTATATTTTTCGGGATATTACTTGAGAGAACAATATACCGGGTGTCAACGAATCTATTAGACAAGTCATAACTTCTAGACCATAAGGTAAAATGAGGTTTGGTATAGGTAAATGGTATGTGAAGAGGAGAGTTTTCACATATTTTTCACTTTCTGGTCCCTTCCGGTTTCACCGGAAATGGCCCCGGTTTTAAATTTTTAAATGGAACATCCTGTATATTGTAACATTTTTGGATTTCTGAGACAATTCTAGGTCAGAATGTGACATTTTCGAAAGTTTTTATGCCTACTTAATTTTTTCGGAATTACATCTAGGTGGCCATGATCGGAGGCTCAATAGCCAATAATAGGGTAAGATGCGTGCCTGAAATCAATCTAAGGACCTCAGGTGATATCAGAAAATTACAATCGCGAAGTTTTAGTGACAAGTATGATAGATATGAATAAGACAAGTTGGCAAAATTACATTTTCGTGTCTAACTATCATTTTTCAAATGGCGACCATTTTTTGACAAGCACTTTCCGAAAAAAGGATATTTTGACGAATCTAACGATACTAATTTATTTGCGATTGGATTACAAATGAGAACATAAATTGAATATTACTGACGAGAATACTTCATACTGATTCATTTATTTATGCCAAGTGTGCCATGGATAATAATTCAATTACTTTTGTAAGCACTTCCCGAAAAAAGGATATTTTGACTAATCTATAACGATACTAATTTATTTGCGATCAATTCAATGTTTTGCGTGGCATTATCCAGGAAACTAGTTGTGTTTAGACTAATTAGACCTTTCGTTTCCTCGTTGATGCAATATAATTCGTAATATTCATTTTGTTTACAGATATCCAAATCGAACACAAGAGAAGTTACTCTGACAAATGTGGAGAAAGAGACATCGGGAGAGTTCAAATGCGAAGTCACTGCAGATGCTCCACTATTTCACACTGACATCAGAACTGCGAGGCTATTAGTTGCAGGTAAATATCGTTCATCTTACCTCCATGATTCAATATTCAATTTGATTTATGCATTGTAGTACATGCAATGAAATGAACGTATTGTCAATTATGTTTAAGCTGGCTGTTAATGACAGATTTTGTGCAACGTTTCTTACATGTATGCATCTTTCAAGTCATGATTTTCATGAGTTTTCAACATTTCTTAGACAATTATGAAATTGTCCTCGTATGCAGCGGCGTCACCAATCAAATTCGAATTTGCTCTGGAAATTCATGATTCCGAACAACGAACAATACGTAAATGCATGCAAATTGGTTTTTCTCCGATTGGCAGCAAATATTAATTTTGCTGACACATATCAATCAGCAAAGTATTACTTTTTCTGTCTAGGCAGCAAAGTGGCTACTTTGCTGATTGATATTTATCAGCAAAATTAATAATCCATAAATCGTTTATAATTTCCTTCATATTTCATCCGAGACTTCTCCGGCAACAAATTCAACTCTTTATTTTTTGCCACTTCCCTCATTTCTGGAGGTGTAAGTACTTCCAGGTCGCTATCACTGTCCATTATATGATGATTTAAATATACCGATATTTTTTCGCACAACTGTCAGAAATTTCATGAATTGTCAAACTATAATTTTTATGGACATTTCCATAGCAACCAACCATTCCTCTGCTCGGCAATGAATTCAGCCACGGCAGTAAATCTACTACTTTGCTGCCTAGTTAAACAAATAACTATATTGTTGAAATTTGAGAGGTTGCATTGATGAGCTTCTTATGTCATAATGGTAGGCTTTGCAATTACTGAAGTCACAGATGGGGTTTCCTCCCAGATCGCCTGACTGAACTACCCTAGATCTTGTTCTAAGTAGGTTTGATTAAAGTGGAATTCCGACAAACAAGCCGTTTCTGATTCATTTGCAGCTGAATTTTTCTATGCACGTGCGAATAATTGAGAATATGATATATTATTAGTATCCAAACGGATACTTGTTGATTAGGAGTTCCATAGTTATAAACCAACCTTTGTCCGCAGTAAACCACTATACTAATACTAATAATATACGTTTCATCGATATATATATAAAACATTTGTTCCAGAAATACCTGAAGATGGTCCAGTCCTGAAAGTGGAAGTTCAGAAAATAACCCCAGGCTCCTACCTGAGAGCAAACTGCACAACTCCAGGATCGCATCCTGCCATGAACGTGACGTGGTACATCAACGATGTCCAGGTAGGCAATAAAACAAATTGAACCCAAACGACAATTATAAAATGATGTTAGCTGCGAAAGAACTGGCTCTATGTGTACTCAATCGACATTGTTGATTGCAATCAAATTCAATATATAGGGTGATTGACGTCAGTCACAAGTATTTTCCAGTTGGATATTCTCAAGCATACAGAATGACCCATTCCTGACAACAGAGCATACATTTCTTCCAACTAATTTTGCTCGACAGTCAACCTTTTATAGATCACTGTATTCATTTGAAAAGTTTCTTTAAAAAAAAATTAAATTTACAAATCGCTGTGATCGGATTTGAAATTGGGAAAAAAATTGTTAGGGTCACCTTGTAGTATCCGGTGAATCATTCCATTTGCTTTTTTGTTTTTGAAAATCGGACAGTTAATTGCGGCGCTACAGCTTGGGGCTTTTTTCGTCAGACAGCCTGTATATATCCTGGTTGAACTAACCTTTCCTTTCAATTTTACTCTGCTCCACCATCCCGCTTTTTCAATTACCGTTGAAGTACACTTCACTTTGCGTAGATGTGAAGTGCTCTCGATATGCTATAAAGCAACCACTGATGATTTATATGACTCCAATTTCATTTCCGAGTTGAACATTCATATACACTGGTCAAAGGGCGTCATTTAGAGAGGAAAATTGCCCCCTCCCCAAGTTTTCTACAAAACATAATTTAATTTAAAAATGAATCTTCCTCTCTCAATGACACAAAACGAAACAATCAGTACTTTAAATTGAAAATTATCGCAGCGCACATAGCAATTCCTATGATGTCTTACCCCAGTGTTGTCTCGAGACTCTCGTGCGACCAAATATATATTCATTCACACTAGACAGTGGCATAACTTCATATTTTGGCCCTTCCCGCCAAAATCATTTAGGGCCCCTTCGAGACAAACCTTTCCAGTCAGAAGTCTCTTTTTTTTTATGAACTAAACTGGGTGTCAACGTTGAAACGTTAATAGTGAAATTTGGCATCAAGTTTGACTTCTCGTAATTTCTAAAATATTGAACGAATTTTGAATTGCCGCCCAGATTCTGAATGCGTTTTTCATCGTCTTTCGAACCGTTCCTTACAGCTTCTTCTAAATTGATCAGGACTCGTGATACAGGGTGAAACAAAGTTTCGTGCATTTTGAAAATAATTTCTCCGCCCCCCCATTTTGTCTGAAGACCACGATGCTCATATTTTATTCAGGCATTTCATAAATAGCAACCATACCTCGGGACGATTTCGAGTTTTTGCCAAAAACTACTGCGATTTCCGAAAAAAATTTTTTTTTGCATTTTTTTTAAATGGACTGATTACCTGTATCCTCAAAACGATGAATCAGTCTATTTATTGTCATGACTGACTTATTGAAAATGGTACTCAAATAAGTTTGGGTATATCCTAATCGTCGTAACATGAAATAATAATTATCTGTTCTGAATTAGTTCATATCACTATAGTGATCTTACCTAATGATATTTTCCATTTCGACCCGAATTAAACGAGGCATCTTCAAATTTTTTAGGAACCGAATTACACCGACGTTTTCATGAAGATTGGCAATTGATATAACCTCTTATGCATACCTACATTGTTTCAACAATACGTTGTTATAGAACCAGGGTATCGTTGTTTGTTTTTGTTGATGAGATGTGTTGATATACTGCTCACTAAGGCAGAAAACTTCTATCATAGACTGCGAAGTAATAAATTATTGATTGTTTCTGAGTAACCTGGTATACATATCTGCTCTAACACTTTCTTGAAATGCATAAAAGCATCCATTTATGGAACTCCTCAAAAATTAGTCCATTTAAAAAAATGCAAAAAAGTTATTTTTTCGGAAACCACAGTAGTTTTTGGCAAAAACTCGAAAACGTCTCGAGGTATAGTTGCTATTTATGAAATGCCCGAATAAAATATGAGCATCGTGGTCTCCCGACAAAATGGTGGGGGGGCAGAGAAATTCTTTTCAAAATGCACGAAACTTTGTTTTACCCTGTATCATGGATCCTGATCAATTTTGAAGAAGCTGTGAGGAACGGTTCGAAAGACGATGAAAAAGGCATTCAGAATCTGGGCGGCAATTCAAAATTCGTTCAATATTTTAGAAATTACGAGAAGTCAAACTTGATGCCAAATTTCACTATTAACGTTTCAATTGACGCCCAGTTTATTAGTTATATTGGATAACCAACAACCATTGGATAGCTTGTTTTTAAATAATCACGGCAAGCAATAGTTTTTTGTCTCAAACAACGATATTGTTCACCTCTATTTGATTATCAAGTCACACACAGTATAGTATGGAGAGGAATTAATAATCGCTATTATTATTGTTGATATGCCCACTAACCTAACATTTTCCACGTCTTGTTCCTATACATGGCACTGGCATGGTATTTGCCATTAGAGCACCTGGTACATACACATATTATGTCACTCTGTGGATGTATTCATATTGAAACTACAATTCGAACAACCTTGAAAATTGAATAAACCTGCAGTTATTGCAGGTAAAATATTTTCACCACACGGATTATGTATTGATTTTGATTTGTTGTATTGCATACATATGGCACGGCATTGGTGGTTACTTCACATATTTATTTGAGTTAATTGTTTCGGTTGCAGGAAGAAGAGCATGTTTCATTCGGATCAAAAGTGACTTTGTTTGACTCGAAAATTTTGCATTTGCGAGGCGGAGCGTTTAGCGAAGCCGAGTGTCACTTTTGATCCTGATAAATTAATCTACTATTGTATAGAGAAACATGGTAAAAAAACAATTCGTGCAGAAATAATCAGCTTTTTCACATTATTTCAGAATGCATCTATACATATTGATATCAATAATTTCCAATTCTCCATCATAGAATATCAACCATGTATCTCATTACAGGTGGGTTCAGACTTAGAAGTCCACATCCAGAAAACGGTGATTCGCTTCGAGGCGTTAGCTGGCCTGGAAACCGTCGTCTCGACAATATCGACAAGGGCAAATCCTGACCTCTTCAAGAGCGGAAAACTGAAACTGCGATGTTCGGCAACGATGTTTACCTTATACACCTCCTCGAGGGAGACTGAAATACAAGAGGACGCGCCCAAACTCGCCCTCATTATGATCCAGGATGCCCAAGCCAGCGAAGGTTCGTTGATTACGTGATTGTTTGTTGTTTGGATAACTGCCAGAAAGCAAGTGTGCATTCTCGGTGTTTGATTTATGTTACCAATTCCGCTTCTAAAACATCTGAATTTGATGTTTTGATTATAAGTTTTGGTTTGTATAATGTGATATGTAGAATGTGTATTATCACAGTGTCCTACCTAACGATACAAAACTTCATATTTCACATTGCGATGGATATCACACCGCAAACTTGCATCAAAGGACCACTCAGGCATCATGATTGTGGAAATAGTTATTTATACACCAAGTAGTAAATAATATCAGTATTACCCAGGGACCAAGATTATATCCTGAGGCTTCAGCCGAGAGGTTTAAAGGTCCCGTGGTCCCTACGAAGGTGTATATTGAATTTTTTTCACCACTAGTAATATATTTTCATCATTATAATTCCGTGAAACTGATATTTAGACCTAAAGTCACTGTGGAAGCACTTCTTTTCAATTCTGAATGAAATCTAGTGGCCATGACCATGACAGCATAATTATATGTAACAAGTTGTTATTGATAGAGATTCGAGTGGTGGCTATGTAGTGGTTCGTAAAACGACGAAAACTACCTTGGTAGTAAAAACAAACTTTACGCCTCGAGAAGGAGTGAATAATGGTAGGCTGTATAGCTAGTAGTGGAAAATAGTTATTCATACACCAAGGTAGTGAAGAATATCATCATCGCCCAGGGATCGAGATTATATCCCGATCAAGGCTTCAGCCAAGGGGTATTATAAGGTCCCGTGGTAACATAATGGGGTGAAAATAGCAACATTTGTTTTTTTGTAGATAATAGGGATATTTTGTTGTTGTTTATACGAATCTCAATATTTTCAATTAACGGAAAAAATAAATTTCAACCTAGTGATTTAGCTAACCATGTTATCTCAGTGTACTATATGGTTAATAGAAATTTTCCTTAGTGTTGGAACGTTGCATAGCAAGGCAGAGGAAGAACACTTCTGCTGCCTGTGAAGTGTCATAGAAAAGCCACGTTCTATGCTGTTTGGAAATAGTAGTTTACCTAACAAGACGCTGACGCGTCGTTCGGCCAGCAATCGCGTGTTAACATGAAGAAACATGTATTATTAAATACTTTTATGGAGATAACTTCCGTCAGGTGCTTCATTTATGAACTGGAATATTTCTTCTTTCAAGAAAATTTGTGCCTTTTTTGGCCTAAATCCAATGTTTTGTTTTTTTATATATGCCGTGACCTTGAAAAACTTGCTCAAATCGAGGTTTTTTTTTTAGTTTGATTACACTTTTCAACATTGAGTACCTGGACCAAAGAGTGTTTGGCTTGCATGTTCTGGAAATTCCAGCGAAATGATCCAGAAAAACGTCTTCTTTGAAACTTTTGATTCCCTTCTTCTGGCACCAGTTTTCAAACAAATTATATTCCTTTTCATACCTATGACGGGATTTTGATGGTAGTAGTTTGTAGTTCAAGCCGCTTCCAAAACTGAGTGCGGAAAACACTTTTTTCCGCACTCAGTGCGGAAAAGTGACTCTTTCAACACTGAAATGAGGGCGAAAAAGTGAACTTTTCCGCACGCTAGTAGAAAAATAATTATTCATTGTTAACGCAATGTTATTGATAGTAGTATAAGTGGATTAACTTGTACTGCTGCATAAACAAGGTTTTTTTGAAATGAGTGCACATATTCAGCACATCAATATGATACAGTCCAAGGAATATCCCCATGATATCAGATTTTTTCTAATCCTTTCAATTAACGAGAAATTTCATCACAAAAATTGAACAAAATACGTCAAGTAAATGTCACTTCAAAACAATTTAAATGATTGAACTCCCGCGTGATTGTGCCTACCGCATGGAAATTTGAACAGAGGTGACGTCAGATTTGCTACATTGTAGAACTTTTGGTGGAAAAAAGGGTCTATCCTCAAATTTTATTTTGATACCTAATTTTTTTTTATTAGTGCCATTTGATAGTACATCAGGTCGAGCTTTCTCAGTGTTTGAAATATTTGCACTTATTTCAATGTCACCCTGTATATCCTATGGAAATATGATGGGATTCCATCTACTCCAGACGACGCTTCTGATTAGTTATACGATGAATTTCAAACTGAAAAATATACATTGGGGAGTTAGAATTCGATTTACCTACTTCAGCCAATAATACTTTAACTTCAAATATGGTATTTGTTTCAGGTTCGAGCACCAAATCAAAATATATCCATGTGTTCCTGAGTTTGCTGACGTCCCTCCTCCCCACATTTTTCCAGTAACCGTCGTTCTGAACGAGATACTCAGTGCCAAGTTAGTGCAATATTCTGTCAATGAGGTTTATTGCTGATGAGGACACTTGACATTCGTGTTACAATGTTAATAATATTGATTGTGATTAAGTTACATGTGATTGTTGTTACCTAATTGCCAACTTCTCGAATGGGATGAAATGGAATAAATGTTGAATTGTTAGTATAATTATTAGATATTTTCAGCGAACCCAGTTGAACAACAGATGATTGGGAATACCTATAATATGTGAGATATGTTTAAGTGAGGAATACATTGCATTTTTGGAAATATAGGGTGTTTTTATGTGGGAGACTGAAACCTTTGGCATGATAATCAGAGTACACAATGTTTCAGTACGAACCAAAAATGATTTTGCTTCGACACGTAGCAGCACTGCTTTAGGGAACCTGAGAGATATTCGCTGTTTCGTATTTATATACTCGTTTACCTGACAGGCAAATATACTAACAGATGCACAACAAATGTCTGTCATCGTTGAGTTAACATGTAAACATGCCAATCCTCATCTTGAATCACCAAATAACACATAGAAGGCTATAAGGAAGGTCCTTTATTCCCATTTATATCATACTAGTGTTCATATATATATGTTTGATATATTCCAAGCTTTTGATGTATGTGTTATGATTTTGGCTAGATATTATGTTTGGCTACATTCGATTAAATATCTAAGATGTTCTTTGAACGTTGTTCTAATGGGCCATGTAGTATGACCTATGTATGTTCTCCCACAACTCCTCGAAAAATTGCTCCACCAGTGAGGAAACGTGATTATGTTCAGGAGTTTACGTTGTTCTAGACGGTCCTGAAGTTATTCATGACATTGTGAAGCAATAATTGGACTTGAAGCTCCGAAAGAATGGATCAGACATAAAGTTGCACAATAGTACGTATCATTATTCAGGATACTGGATAGTCTCAAAGATGGCCTCAAAATATACCGTGGGCAACGCCTGATATATTTATTCCGAAGAATGTAGTATAGTGAGGCAGATATTCCTATCTAAGATGTTAGTGGATATCTCCATGCTTGGTCCAACGGAAATGTCTGATGGTAGAAAAGATATTTGAGAGAATTTGTTGTCTTTCATCCCGAACTTTTTTCAAAATTGCTGAAAGTTCGTTCTTTTCCACCCATCAAAATGGAAATGTATTTGCAATAAAATGCCTTGGTTATTGAAGCGATTTCTTCTTTTCTGCTGACAAATTTCGATTGCATTATAAAATTTCAAGGAAGATTTGTATTTGGAAAGATATAATACACCAATTGAAATAAATAAATAGTGTATCTATCACTTATAAATTATAGAGGTAAATTAGAGCACATTTCGATGATCGATCATATGATGTGATTTGCGGTTATCGAAAGTCTCACTCAATTATAGTCGTACATATTATATATGTTCTTCAGAGAGAGTTATCATGCTGAATGACTATTTGTAAATTTCTCGAAGAATTGATAATTATTTATATAAAAAAATCGCTCCTGACCTCACCGAGTGTGATAGCTTGGGTTCGGGATCGAAATTGACCTCTGATCAATGATTCACAGAAGTTCCAGACAGAATTTGAAGCCCAATATTTTCCGAAATAATGTTTTCTCGGCAAAAATATATTACCCCATTTCGTTTTATTTTTTCGTTTCCTATTAATCATTTCTTTTAACGCTAAGATTCAAGTATTAATCATGAAGCCTTCAAGCTATTACAGGTGTTTCAAATGATGCCTCTAAATCCTCATTCATAATTTTTTATTGTTTGACTGTCAGTTCGATAAGTGAAAATGTATAAATTCCATTAAGCATGAATACATCGAAAATGGGGTCATTATGAACCTACGTTGGTAAGTTGATTCATTCTATTCATGAACTTGGAATAAAAATGACCAAGTATTCACCAGACTTTGAGTTCCTGAAAAATACTGTGAAAGTTGTCTGTTGGTTGGGATTGTGTCCGATACATTTACAATCTAACGCATCAAGATGGAATCACATATCTAGAGCTTTCATCATATTTTGTGCCATCGTATCTATTGCATCAAGATTTGCAGCTACGTACTCATACGTATTATTGAAAGCCTTTGCTGATAGCAATTTGTTGATGAAACTAGGAGTAATCGTACATACTGTAGTAGATATATTCACTTTCATTGTGACTTTCATCAGTACCATTGCATATAGAAGAGAGTGGGAAGAAATAATGGGTCATATGGAAGAAATTGAGAAGAGATTACGGATTATTGATAACGGTAAAACAAAATCTAGAACGTCCTGTGGGGCGATTGATTATTTGATCCTCCATATTGTACTTGCAGCTACGGTGATATTGCAAGTAATAGATTTTCTGGAAAATGAAAATCTAATGAAAAGCATTTTAGTCATCATAGTGTATTCTCTACCGACTTACTACCATTCAATATCATCATTATTTATATATCAAATAACACACATGTTGTCCAGAAGATATCGAATATTAGAAAAAGCTTTGCTGGATAACATCATGATGGATAGAATCACGACTACAAATACTTATTTCTGTATTTGTGACAGAATAGACATAATGAAGCTATCAGAAATCAAGAATGTGTTCATAAAACTGTACTCGGCTAATACATTGTTCAATGTTGTATTTGGATGGACAATACTTCTTATTTTTGGAAGAACCGCAGTGATGATTATAATTATCATAATGTATTATGCGATGAATACATTCAAATCCATGAAATATTATCCATTGAACAGCCTTTTGTATGCGGTAAGTTCATCTGATTTATTATTATTATACACACACTGGCACAATTAGGAGAACGGACAAAATTTAAGTTCGACATCAATTTTCTCTCAAACCGATCGCTCGATAAAATTTTTTTTTTCACAAATTGTAGCTATATTCTTCACCAATACATCTGAGTTATAACCACCTTCAAACGATTCGTCTTGATATCATATACAGGGGTGTAAAGAAAGTTCGGATTTTTTGGTATTTTTGAAGACATCCTGTGTAGTGAACCACTGATAATTGAGACGATTTCTCAACACCAAATTGTATCCCAATATATTCCGAATAATTTCGTTTTTTATTCATCCTGATATGTCAATAATTCAAGAAAATACAGAGTTTCAAAGGAAAGGTGGATATTGCTATTAATTTTACCACCTCGAAACTCGAATTGGATCTGAGCATATGTCGTTTCTCAAGTTGTTTCTAAGATAATTTCCCCTTCAAGTTGAATATTGCTCTTTTTCCACTCATTAGTCTATTGTTACAAGATTTCCTAGAAATATACAGATATGATTAGAAAAAAAGTAATTTTTTCGAAGCCTTTATTCAATAACATCAATAACATTAACTCAACAAACAATAAGGATTCAAAATACCAACAATAATTTCAATAACGTGCGTGACGTCCACGCGCTCTTATTACAGCAGTCATCCGTCTGCTCATGCTTATCGAGCATTCTTGAGGAAGATTATCCCAAATCTCAACCAGAGCTGGACCTCAATCGTCTACCCAACATGTACCATAAATGTTCGATTGGATTAAGGTCTGGCGAACATGCAGGCCAATCCATTGCTCTTATTTCGACTGTATTTAGAAAGTTGGAGCTTGATCGAGCTACGTGAAGGCGGGTATTATCGTGCATTAACAAGAAGTTTTCTCCGATATGGGGGTCGAATGGTATGACATGCTGTTGAAAAACATCTCGTATATAGCCATCTGCATTTAAAACGCCATTAACCACTACCAACTCTGCTCGTGCCTCTAAACATATTCCACCCCAAACCATGACTGCACCTCCGCCACAGGAGACAGTAGCAGTAACATTAAATTGTTCATTTTGTTCACCTCGGAGGTGATATAGTCTATCCCTGCCATCTTTGAATTGATGCAGAAGCGGCTCTCATCTGTAAAAAGAACGTTGGCCCACTGGTAATTTTCCCAATTTAAATTTAATGCTGCCTTGCGAAGCTGCGTCTTGCCACCCGATGACGTCGCTGGAGTTGTGTAGCTTTCTTCGTTCTATATGCTCTCAGACCAACTTATTTAAACCTTCTGCTGATAGTCCGATGACTTATTCGTCTCCCACGTACTTCTTCCAGTTAGTTTCTCAATTGGGGTACGGTTGTACGTCTGTTTCGTAGTGTTTGGGAGACTAAAAATCGGTCATCTCTAGCCGTGGTTTTCAATTGATGCTACAGCACTTGCCACATCAGTAGGATTCAAATCTCCCATGTTGAATTTTCAATAATCAGATTCATGAATTTTCAATTGTGAATCGCTTGAGTTTGACAATAATTTATTAATGACAAACAATATAGCCCCTGCATATTCAAAAGAGTATTCGTATGTGTGTCTTCAAACAGTAATCCGATAGGTGAAACTGTGAACAATTTTCATTTCGAAGTAAATATTCTCATATATAATACCACAAGTGATAATATTTTGCCGGAAATATTCGGTGATTGTTACGACAGCTTGTTGCCTAGTAATTTCGTGAATGACATTGTTATGTCATGAGCGAAATTATAGCAGCGAGCTGGAGTATGTCAATCGACGAATATTTCCAGGAAAAATAGTATCACGAGTTGTATTCGTATGACTATTTCATGATTGAATGAGACAGTATATACAAGAAATAGGAAACAGAATTTAAGTATATTCCAACTCAAACTACGAAGAAGAACATAATGATAGTAATGAAATACAGAATTCAATTTTTCAGAAATTAACTACCTACTTATATTCACAAAGTGGAATATACAATTTTAACAAACAGTATTTTTTTTCATTATCTTGGAGATGGTTGCTCTCAAAAGAGTGTATACAATTGCTATCCAATTCAAAAAAAAAAAAATTAATTCATGTGACATGAAATAATTAAAAAAAGATATCGTTGCCGAGGGACTCGAACCACCGACCTTCGTATCCTCGCGCAACAACCCTATCAGTAATTGCTCCACATCATCTTGTAATTTATCAG